GAGGGGGGGGGGCAAGGAAGGAAGGAATGGAAGGGTGGAAGGAAGGAGGAAGGGGGGAAGGAAGGAAGGAAGGAGGAGGAAGAAGGAAGGTGGATGGGTGTGGAAAGGAAGGGGTGGAAGCAAAGGAGGGTGGAAGGAAGGAAGGCAGGGGTGGAAGGAAGGAATGGAGGGGTGGAAGGAAGGGGGGGGTGGAGGGAAGGGGGAAGGAAGGAAGGAAGGAAGGAAGGGAAGGGGGAGGAAGGGGGGTGGGGGAAGGAAAGGATGGGGGAGGAAGAGGGGGGTGGAAGCAAGGGGGTGGATGGAAGGAAGGAGGGAGGGGGGGGGGAAGGAAGGGGGGGAGGGGGAAGGGGGGAGGGGGGAAGGAGGGAATAAAGGGGGGGGGGGGTAGGGAAGGAAGGGGGGGGGGGGGGGGGGGGGGGGGGGGAGGGAGGGGTGGGGGGGGGGTGGGGAGGGAAGGAAAGGATGGGGGGGGGTGGGGGAGGTAAGGAAGGGGGGGGGGGGGGGGGGGAAAGGAAAGGGGGGGGGGGGGGAGGGGGGGGGGGGGGAAAGGGGATAGGGGGGGGGGATTGGGGGGGGGGGGTGGAAAGGAAGGAAGGGGGGGGGGGGGGGGGGGAAAGAAAGGATGGGGGGTAGGTAGGGAAGGGGGGGGAAGGGGGAAGGGGGAGGGGGGGGGGGGGGGGGGGGGAAGGAGGGAAGGGGCAGGGGGGGGGGGGGGGGGGAAGGGAGGGAGGGAAGGAACAAAGGGAGGGGGGGGGGGGGGGGGAGGGGGGGGAAGAAGGGGGGGGTGGGAAAGGAAGGGGGGGGGGGTGGGGGGGGGGGGGGGGGAAAGGGAGGGGGGGGAAGTAAGGAAAAGGGGGGGGAAGAAAGGAAAGGAGGGGGGGGAAGGGGGGGTGGGGGGAAGGGGCAAGGAAGGGGGGGGTAGGGGGGGGGGGGGGGGAAGGGGGGGGGTGGGGGAGGAAGGATTAAGGGGGGGAGGGGGGGGGGAAGGAAGGGAAGGGGGGGGGGGGGGGGGGGGGGGGGGGGGGGGGAGGGGGGGGAAGGGGGGGGGGGGGGGGATTGGGGGGGGGGGGGGGGGGGAAGGAAGGAATGGAGGGGGGGGGGGGGGGGGGGAGGGGGGGGGGGAAGAGGGGAGGGGGGGGGGTGGGGGGGGGGGGGGGAAGGAGGGGGGGAGGGGAAGGAAGGGGAGGGGGGGGGAAGGGGGGGGGGGGGGGGGGGGATGGATGGGGGAGGGGGGGGGGGAAGCAAAGGAGGGGGGAAGGGGGGGCAGGGGGGGGGCGGGGGGGGGGGGGGGGGATGGGGGGGGGGGGGGAAGGGGTGGGTGGGGGGGGGAAGGAAGGGGAGGGGAAGGAAGGAAGGTTGGGGGAGGTGGGTGGGGGGGGGGGGGGGGGGGAAGGGAGGGGGGGAAGGGGGGAGGGATGGAAGGAAGGAATGGAGGGGGGCGGGGAAGGAAGGAAGGGAGGGGGGAAGGGGGGGGGGGGAGGGGTGGGGGAGGGGGGGTAAAGGGGGGGGGGGGAAGGAAGGAAGGGAGGGGGGGGGGGGGGGGGGAAGGGAGGGAGGGGGGGGGTGAAAGGAAGGCAGGAAGGAAGTAAGGATGGGGGGGGGGGGGAAGGAAGGAAGGGAGGGAGGGGTGGGGGGGAAAGGAAGGATTTTAAGGGAAGGGAGGGGTGGGGGTGAAAGGAAGGATTGAAGGGAAAGAAGGCATGGAGGAGGAAGGAAGGAAGGAAGGAAGGGGGAAAGGATGGGTGGAAGAGAGGGGTGGAAGCAAGGGAGGGTGGAAGGAAGGAAGAGAGGGGTGGAAGGAAGGAAGGGAGGGGTGGAAGGAAGAGGGAATAAACGGGTGGGTGGGTTAGAAGGAAGGAAGGGAGGGGTGGGTGGAGGGAATGAAGGGAGGGTGAGGGTGAAAGGAAGGAAAAGGTGGCTGGAAGGAAGGAAGGAGGAGAGGAAGGGAAGGAAGGAGGGAAGGGATGGGTGGAAGGAAGGGAGGTCAGACTCACTGGCTCAGTCAGATGTATCAGAGCTGTCGGCTGCTATGTGTACAATTTTCTTCCCACACATCCTCTGAAGCTGTATGGACTGGAGTGTGGGCGGGCACAGGGGGAGGCAGAGCAGATTTAGCATCTCTCCCCTCTTCTCCTGTTGGTGTGGAGGATAGGGGGAGGGGCTGGGCACTGAGGAGCATACAGCGGGGAGGGGCTAGAAAGAAACGGAACAATCAGGGATGATCAGTGCAATGGTGGGGGCGGTGACAAGCAGCGATCTCCTGTATGGCTTTCAATGAAGCAGCTCCTCCTCTCCCTCCCACGGCTTCCAACTGCTTCATTGAAAGCCATACAGGAGATCGCTGCTTGTCACCGCCCCTACCGCTGGTCCTTCCACACACCCCTAGTTCCAGCGCTGCTCGCCCCCACCTTATTTCCACTAGCCCAATGTGAGCGGGGTGAGTGGAAATTTTAAGGGCTGTATATATGTTATCATTAAAAAAAATGTATTAAAATTGCATCAAAGGCATTGAATCGTGTATATAAATCGTTCTCGTAAAAGTGGTACGGAGGTCAGCATCAATAATCATAACACATAGAGATAAAGAAATGGGTTCACAACAGCAATTTCACAGAGATTACCCAGACAAGCTGAAGGAGTTGGGGGGGGGTAAAGAGAAAGAGGAAATGGAGAGGGTTAGAGGAAATATAAGGGTAAACAGGGACCGGGGAAGAAGAAAAAGCACCCACCTACAATAAAATACTGATTGGTATCAAAATATTAACTTGAATAGCCAGGGATGTCAGGGAAGTGTTCCCTAAACAGCAAACGCAGAAACCTAAAATACAGCTTTCATTCAGGTGGTTAAGCCCTGTGCAACAGTCCAATTTGCCCATATTTTGTCAAAACTTCCATAGGTGTGACATAGCCAGCCCTCCTGGTTTTTATGTTCTTAACTTTTAATTAAAATGTTTACATTCCTATATGCTAGGAAAATAAGCCCCGTCTTTCTCAATATATATAGCAGTTTACAAGGTAGGGTCAGCTGGATGTAAATGCCATAGAAGGAATAGTCTGTGGTTAGAGGCCTTTATACTATACCCCTCCCAAGCTTTATCTATTTCATATGTAATGATATGCAGAAATTTCCCCTTCACAAATCATCTCACTCCCAATCCCCCTTCCCAACACAAATTGCCTCAATCACTACTCCCGAATCACTACACCCAGCACAAATCCTCTTCTACCCAGATGCCCCCTCCCAACTCAAATCCTCTCCCCCCAAATCCCTCCTCCCAGCACATACTCCCCCCCCCCCCCCCCATCCTCCTTCCTAGCACAAATCCTCTCAATCCAGGCACAAACCCCCAAAGTAATTTTGTCCTCCAGTAATTTTCCCTTTCCATCCCTAAACATACAGACCTCAGATACAGTGCAGCAGATGGATGAAAGATGTCCTTACTCCCAGGCTCCCCCTGGTCTTTTGTCATGTGACACGTCAAAGCCATGGAGGAACGTAGGGGCAACTTTTCTTGGCTTTGAAGTCTATTGCTGTGCCAGACAACTGAAAGGGAGATATACCAGCTGCTGCAGTGGTGGGAGATTCCAAGGTCAGGGAACCAGGAAACCCAACAGTAGATGCAGAGTAAATTCCCTCGGTGTCTAGGGCTAGTGGTGACCCCTCGTAAGACTCTTAGCTATATGTGTTGGGTATGTTTCCATCCTTCAACCTGTGTGTCATAACAAGACACAGCCATAACATTGGGGATTAGAGGATGGAGCCACAGTGCTTGACATCAACATACAATACTCCCATTGGTGTCAATTGCTGAAGAGCCAAGGTGCATTGCTTGAACAAAAGGAAAGTAGAAGACAGGGGCTGCTGGAGAGGTATATTACCTCTCCTACAGCAGAGTAGTGTTCTTTAAGGATCTGACAGGGTTTTTTTATGTGTAAAATAACCAAAAAAGCCATTTTTTTGTCCAAATTGTCCAATTAAAAAAATGAACATTTATAGATGACCAATCAAAGCCTTATAAATCCTCAAAAAAAAGGTAGAAAATATTTAGGTAGGCAAAATAGTCAGAGTTCTACTTAAAGGATAAGCTCATCTTTTAACAAAAATAATACATGCACATTTTTTTTCGCCAGTAAAAAAATATGTGCATTTATTATTTTTTGTTTCTGCAGTCTCTAAAGCATGGCACCAGTGATCAGTAGATTGCTGGTGGTGCCGTGCAGGACTCCTGCAGACCTGCCAGTATATCTGCTTACTCGTAGTACATCCCGTATGAGCAAGCAGATACTTAGTGACAGGAAGGCTCAATGAATTACCATGGCACTGTGGAGCACTGTGGTAGTTCATTGAAAGCTAGAAGCCGACAGCCACAAAGGCTGTCGGAACTTGCAATTTTCCCATTCACAGATGCGGCTGGGCGGGCGGAGCCCTGCATGGCCACGTTTTTTTTTTTTTTAACCTCTTGGCACCGGCCACATGCAAATGTGCGGCCTCCCGGCATCTGGGCCTTGACGGCGAGCGGGGGGGGGGGGAGGTCAAAGGGAGGACAAAAACCAGGGGGCTAAACCCCCTGGAGACCCACCCAAAGGGGATGATGGAATACGAGCCACACTACATATGCATCAATGTAAACATTTAAATAAACATGACCTCTATCAAATGATTTCAAACATTCTGAGTGAGGGGTGTAGAGACGCTCTAGCCACGAACCTACGCTGGCTTCTATTTGTTGCTTCTTCATATCGCGAAAAACTTTTCATAAATAGTAAATATATAATTTCAAGCCAACTATGACATTCTTGGAGTGTTGGGAGCTGGACAACATATAAATTGTATCTAACACCCAGCTCTACAAATGCATCCGCTGCATGGCAACATGTTTAAAACAAGTTATCTCCACGCCTGGCATGTGAACAAAGCTAAAAGCTTCCTGTGTGATGGTAATAACATACGGTGAAAAGCTTTATTAATACTCTGCTCTATATGTAAAAAAAAAACATATTTAACCACTTACCATCCGGCTGCTGCATATAAACGGCTGGACGGTGGCAGTCCAGGGGTGGGTTGCCGTTGATAAACGACGCCCACCATTTTGGATTGTGCGCGCTCCCTGGGAGCGCGCGGCACCAGGATCCGGTGCCCGCTGTATCCTCTGGACACAGCGGAACACCAATCGCTGTAAGGGACCTCTGTGTGAGGTCCAGATCATGTGAACTCGCCCGGCCCCTGCTTGTGCACGCTTCCTGGGAGCGCTCAGCACCGCGATCCAGTGCCCGCTGTGTCCTCCAGACACAGTGGAACATCGATCGTCGGACGGGACCTCTGTGCGAGGTCCCGATCATGTGATCACTGATTAGCCAATCAGTGATCACATGAATAGGTGTAAGCAAGATGTCAATTCTGACATCATTGCTTACTACGTGTGAAGTCTGTGAATGATCACAGAGGTCACATGGTATAGGGCTATTCACAACAGCCTTGTACCATGTGACAAGCTGTGACCAATCACAGCTCACACAGTATTTCTCAATGGCTGCAAGAATGCAGCCAGAGAGAAATAGAAATGATTGCTTTTACAGGCTTTATGGGTAAAAAAAAAAAAAAATCTTCATCACCCTCCACAGGTAGTACAGTGTCATTATGGGGACACTGTACTGCTAGGGTGACAGTATGTAAAAAAAAAAAAAAAAATAAATAATAATATAAAAAATAAAATAAAAATGTAAAGAAAATTTTAAAAAAAATTATAATTTTTGGTTATAAACTAATTTGGGTTTTTTTTTTTTTACTAAAAATATAACTGAATACATTGTGGCCAAGATTTATGAAGAAAGATTATTTATTTGCAAAATTTTATAAGAAAAACACTTTTTTTCAAAATTTTTGGACTTTTTTGTTTATATAGCAAAAAAAAATATAAAAATCCCAGCGGTGAATAATTACCACCAAAGTAAAGTTTTATCTGTCTCAAAAAAATGCTAACAAATTCATATGGGTACAGTGTTGCATGACCGTGTAATTGTCATTCAAAGTGTGATAGCGCTGAAAGCTGAAAATTGGCCTGGACAGGAAGGGGGTGAAAGTGTCCAGACATGAAGAGGTTAATCAGGATGCATCATTAAATGACCTTAATGTGCCAAGATCACTAGCCTCAATGCCAAAGAGACTCCAAATGGACTTCGTAAACACAGCTAAACGGTGCAGCAGATTTTCAAACCAGCTGGATCCCCACTGTGGACTCACAAAAGAAGCTGAGAATCTCCTACATAATAATGATAATACCCAATAGGAGTCCTCATTTAGGCCTACACTCTATGTTCAGCAAAAAAAACCAACAATGGCCATTAACACTGTTCAACAGGTAAAAACTTTTGGGCATAAAATTAGCTAATCTTACATAATTTTGGGGTGCTGAAAACGAAAATGACCCTAAAAAATGATGATTGGCTCTAGTTTCCATGATATATTCACCCATCTAATGACGTAAGCCATTCAAAATTATGATGCAACTTCAGCTGCATATTGCGCAATTGATACTGGTGACCAATAGAAAATTGCATGTATACTGAGATGATGCAATATTAGCCTTTAATTGCATCACTTCACTGCATAAAAGCTGCAGTATCTGTAGCTGATTGTAGTTGGACAGCGTCTTTTACATTTCGTTTTATGCTTATATAGGCTACTCAGTAATGCCTCGAACTTGTGTGAATAAAGCAGATAATTTCTGCTATATCTGCGGTGAAATAACTTTTATCTCACAAAAAAGGAGGATAACAGGAATGATTAAGAAAGCCTACAACTTGTATTTTGGCTGCAAGATAGGAGACCAGGACAAGAGCTGGGCACCACATATATGCTGCAATTCTTGTGGGACGGCACTGGAGCAATGGTCAAATGGAAAAAAGGCATCTATGCCTTTCGCTGTGCCAATGATTTGGAGAGAGCCAACAGATCATGTTAGTAATTGTTACTTTTGTATGGTGCCTCCAATTGTAAAAGGGCTAAATAAGAAGAAAAAAGTTATCTGTGCACTATCCAAATATTCCATCGGCAATACGTCCAGTTCCTCATGGAGAGGGGCTACCAATTCCTAAAGCACCAGAATCCTTCGTGGTTGAGTCAAGTGAGGAAGAACCTGAAGCGTGTAGTCACGTGCAGTTGTAAGAGATAGCCCTTTCCTCGAATACAAGAGAAAAGCCAAGAGAAGCAAAACCGACACAAACTGAAGACAAAACTAGTGAGAATCCTAAGTATTAAAATGATTCAACTTAGCTTATGGCTATAATTTTTCTTGGTAATCCTATGCAATATATTATGCCATTTAGGCTTTGTTATGTAGTCAATATCACTTGCTTTATATTTGTGGAAAGACATCTATCTATATAATTATTGTGCATTATGTAGTCATTACGCCTATAGTAGAAAACTTTCCGTTTACAGAAAAACTAGAAACCAATTGACAAATTTCATTGTTATATTTGAACTCAGAATGTGAAATTCATTAAGAAATGGATCCTTTTGTTTCCAAAACTGGCAAAAAATAAAAATTTGTTGAACAGTGTAATAGACTACATTGTTATATTACCTTAATTTTTCTGGAGAGTGTCTTTTGGGGTGCCCCTGGGGGAGAGGGTGTTGTAGAGGATGTCCAGGGAGTGCACCCCCATGGTGCTGGAGCCGAAAAACCTCCCTTATGTTGGGGCCATAAAGACAAAATACTTTGTCTGCGATGAGTAAGGGAATGATGCCAAGTGCGTGTTGGTGTGGACAATTTGCGGGTAACAGTGGATGAGGCTTAGGGGGGAATGGCTAAATAAAGTCTGAGTCTATCCTGCTTTCAGTCAATAGAGTGTAAAGCATACAGTTCACGGGTCAGTGACACGCAGTGTTCAGAGGTCAGGAGTAAGTAACACACAGAGTGCAGGGGTCAGGAGTAAGTACACAGAGATTTCAGGGGTAAGGCGTAAGTAATACACAGGAGCAGGGGTCATATGTAAGTAATGCAGAGATTTCAGGGGCTAGGAGTAAGTAATACACAGAGTGCAGGGGTCAGGAGTAAGTAACACAGAGATTTCAGGGGTTAGGGAGTAAGTAACACACAGAGTGCGGGGGTCAGGAGTAAGTAACACACAGAGGGCGGGGGTCAGGAGTAAGTAACACACAGAGTGCAGGGGTCAGGAGTAAGTAACACACAGAGTGCAGGGGTCAGGAGTAAGTAACACAGAGATTTCAGGGGTTAGGAGTAAGTAACACACAGAGTGCAGGGGTCATGATTAGGTAACTGACAGAGTTCAGGGGTCAAAAGTAGGTATAGGACAGAGTCCAGAGGTCAGGATTAAGTAACATATGGACTTCAAGGGTCAGGATTAAGTAACATGCAGTGTTCAGAGGTCAGGAGTAAGTAACACACAGAGTGCAGGGGTCAGGAATAAGTAACACACAGAGTGTAAGGGTGAGGAATAAGTAACACAGAGATTTCGGGGGTTGGGAGTAAGTAAAAACACAGAGTTCAAGGGTCAGGAGTAAGTAACACACAGAGTGCGGGGGTCAGGAGTAAGTAACACAGAGATTTCAGGGGTTAGGAGTAAGTAACACACAGAGTGCAGGGGTCAGGAGTAAGTAACACAGAGATTTCAGGGGTTAGGGGTAAGTAACACAGAGTGCAGGGGTCATGATTAGGCAACTGACAGATTTTACAGGTCAAAAGTAGGTGTAGCTCAGAGTCCAGAGGTCAGGATTAAGTAGCACAGAGTGTTTAGGGGGTCAGTATTCAGTAACACATAGAGTTCAAGGATCAGGTTTCAGTAACCCACAGAGCTCATGGGTAAGGATTAAGAAACGCAGAGCACAGGTGTAAAGAGACTAAATAACGTAGGGAGTTATGGGGTCAGGATTCAGTAACACACAAAGTTTAGGGGTCAAGCGTCAGTTAGGCTCCATGTGCACGAGCAGCTCCTAAACCCAACTCCTAAAAGCCTAAAAGCCTATGTGTCCATGTACAGATAGGCTTTTAGCAGAGATTAGGGGCCTTCACGTTTAGGTGAGGTTAAACCTCCCTCTCCTGAATGTGGAAGAATCACGTTCAGGATAGGAATGTTTTGACCGCCGACCATGGGGAAAACGCAAAAAAACGTGGCAAAACCATGGAAAAATCACGGTACTGTGGTTACCGCATTTTGCTGCGGTTTGTGTTTTCCCCGGCCGGCGATCAGAGTAGGCTCCTGTACATGGAGCCTAACAGAGTTCAGGTATTTAGGGACTGAGCAAGTAACTAACAGATTCTGCCTGGTGTCTCCTGCTCAGGCTGTCCCAGCAGCGCCATTTTGTACTGACTCTCAGAACCATGTTCATTTAATTTTGCACATAGCACACTGCAATAATTCCTTGGGGAAGAATCCAGGAACACCTGTTTCCTGAGGACAGGCCCCTCACAATCGGGATGAATGGTAACTAGAGATGAGCGAAGTATTCAAAAATTTGATTCGACTGATTCGGGCGGACGAATTCGTGGAAAAATTTCGATTCGAGTCGAATATATTCGCTGTGAATTTAACTTAAAAAAGGTGTTTCTAGGCTTCAGAGAGACTTAATATTAGTGCTGAACACTGTACCTTTAATTTAAATGCTTGCTTGGGGAAGAGAAATAATACTGTCAGTCAGTATGACATGCAGATGAGTGCCGTCGATCTTAGAATCACCGCACACTTCACTCATTTGGGCAGTCACGGGGGCCAAAACCAGAGTGGGGAGCCACAGTGTGGCGGTGGAGGCTAGCAGCAATGCGGAGGCCATACCAGCACCCTATGACCAAAATGGAAACCACCCAGCAGTGTGAGGAGACCTGAAAGTGGCACATGGTCAGAGTGTGCGATAGAGACGAGCAGCAATGGAGAGGCCTGTACAGGGCACCCATGACACACTCTGGTACCTGGCACAGCAGCAGTGAGGAGGCGGGTACAGGGGCCCATGGCAGATTACGAGGCCTTGGCAGCAGCATGAGGATTTAAGTCGGTACGGGGGGCCCATGGCAGATTACGGGCCTTCGGCAGCAGCAATGGGAGTGCCGTACAGGGACCCATGACACAATCTGGACCTGGCACGCAGCAGGGGGGGCGGGGGGTGGGGGGGGGTTTGGGTGGGACGGGG